CTCTGCAAAAAATGGCCTGGGGCAAGTCAGGGATATGGGTTTTACTCATCAAATCCCACCATCTGGCTCCGAACTCAGATCTGTATCTCCACTGTTCAATGATATGCTTCAACTATATTTTTGCGCCCACGTACGGGCGCGATAATAATAATAACTAAGTAAAACTGAGAAATAATATATATATGCATATATAGAAACGAGCGGTAGTCGGGCAGGGACCATGACACCCCTCGTTTCTACCCGTACCCGTCACAAGAACCCGTCCGGGTTCGCCCGTGCTGCACTACACTCGTATTCCACTCTTACCTCCCGCCGTAGCTCATGCATCTTGGAACGGGACGCGATAGCCGGGGCCAAAAATAATAAAGTCAAGGAAAAAAATAAAATACTGTAAAGTAAGAGTAACGTCGGGGCACCGTGGGGCCGCTGGCACCTTGCCAAACCCACGAACCGGGCCCGCCGGCCAGGCCACCAACAAAACCTGAGGGGGATAGCCCCGTCGGGCCCTCGACCCCTCGAGTTTCTTCACGCTGCTCTGCTGCTGCCTCGTCGGTGCTCACTGGCCTCGATCCCCAAACCTCCGCCGTGTAAGTCCTGTACCGTAACCTATAGGGCTAAGCCTAAGCCTGGTACCAGTGGGCGCGGATCTCCTAGTAAAGAGGTAGCCCACGCCACTTCTCGGCCCGCACTTGCATGCCGGCCTCCCTGCCGTGCCGCGGCTACCCTTCCCTAACCGAATCCATCAGGTCCCATCATTTGGATTCCGCGTACGTCCACACCGACTCACTGAACTGTCCACCGTACCCCGCGAAACCAGAGAACAAAGCGCTCATAAGTTACTTGGTTTAATCAAACAGAAATAACATACGTCGACCAAAGTCCACGCCACATCTGCTATTTGTAATCAAAACAAAGGGGGAAAATCACGCGCGCCTCAAACTTGCGCGCCCATTCACCCTCTAATCTGGCCAAGTGCTTGGCCACCGCAGCCTTCAAACATCGCTGCGCCTTGCGCAACATACTCGAACTTTTAGACTTAACTTATTCGTCTGTCATTTGCAAAAACTAGGGCGGATACCCTTGTAAGGGTATTCGCGCCGACAACTTAGCGGACCATATTAAGCGACGTCCCCGTCGCTTCGCAGGATCAAAAGCTATCAATTCAACTATAATCCCCAAAACGCCGACGAGCAGGGTACCAATCCGATTGGCCGACAGACCCAGGGTTGAGGCCTCCAATAATCCATGCCAAATACAACTTTATGCTGCCAGGATTCTAACTTGGGTTTCCGTCGCCCTGACATTCGGACATCGGGGTACTCCTCATTGTACTACAGCATAAGTTCCATTGGATCTCTCACCGTCCTCTCCCCTATGCCCTAGACAACCGCCGACTCCTCGTTGTGTGCCCCCAGCCCTTCCCTGAAACCAAAGTCGCGACTAGGGGCGCGGGCGCTAACCGAGACCTTTGAAGGCATTCTTTCGCCTCCCTCTAAAAAAATCTTCACATTAAGCACATGTAAATATACCTCATAGATCTCCACATAAACCTCCTTGTTGTCTAGTACAGGAAGACTAGGTCTCCATCTTGGCCCACCATAGTCTGGGTGATCATTCTAGATCTACGGCCCACCGCATTGTTATTTTAGTGGTAGTGCCTTCGCGGGTTGCGCCACGATAGGCTGTTCCTGATAAGCATTCAATCAGGATTTCCTAAGAAAAACTCATACGACTCGACTCTTATCCCACGCCTCTCTGCATGAGTAAAACCGTCCTAGGCGTTCACGCCCCTTTAAGTCTTTACTCCCTTGGCCAGACGCAGACCCTCTGCTCTGGTTGTGCCAAACAACGACCAACACTAAGGGTTGCGCCTTAGTGATGCTAGTTATACCCCTAGCTGGGTCTCTTATAAATGTCCAAGATTAGCACATTCGGCCAGACGGTGTGTCGCAACAATACAAGCCTACTGCGAGACTACGCATAGACCTGTCGCACATAAAGGTATTTACCAGTCCCTCTGTGGGACAATACAGAGGAAGCACGACAACCTCTCGACAGTCACAAAACAAAATCACCTCCTGATTCACAAGGCCGTGGCCTCCCAGCTTGATCAGAGCAAGAAAGTCACACATCTCGATGGCATCTCTCAAAATGCACCATTTGCGACATCCAAAAATTTCATCAATAGTCAAACAAAATTTTGGTCCCTCTCGTCAGTCTTTTATTACTCAAAATCATTCTTCCAGTTATCCATTTTTTTAACCACCTCACATATAAAGGAGGTCTCACTTCAATAGGTCTCTCAACCATCCTTCTCTCTCTAGGATGAACTTTCTCGCGACCTTTTCTTTAACACACCTTCCCTCTTTGAAGATGCGTCTTCCAAATAGATAATAGACAACCCTTCCATTCACAGGTGTCTCATTCATCACACAATTCATATAAAGAAAAGGACCAGCTTATGGGTCTTCTGCACAGCTCAACACTAGAACACTCATCATACAAATATTAAGGATTCTCGCATCCTCTCACAAAACAGGCTACGCTTCCTTGCCTTATACTATGCCTTCTCACCCGCCCAAGGGCAGATCGCACGAGTATACAGGCGAGTAGACAGTTCACACTCATCCAGATTCACAAGGTACAAGGCATATGAGATATTTTCTCGCGCATATTTTACGCCAACTCATCATCCATCAAATCAGGACCACACAAGTGAGTGTGAGAGTGATCGTCATACAAAACAAGTAGTCCCCAAAAGGCCTCGATATAATATACATTCAAGGATAAAATATCCCGCACAAAAATATCTCCAACATACACTAAGAGATAAGATATCCTATAAAATGTCTCCACATTGTGACTCACTCAATTCACTTAAATCCACACTCACACGGGTGCCCTCCTCAAAGTACAAGTTGGGTCTGTCTCTCGAAGATCAGGGTGTAGGCCAACTAAGTATGTACACGCCTCATCTACCACGTCCTGACCCTCAAGATGACAGACTCAACAAAAACCCAACCCAAACTGCTCGACAAATGCAAACAACACCTAGGTTTACAGGATGTCATCCAATCCTAACTCTAATACGCAACATGTCAACCATATAGGTAACTCAGTCCTGCTCGCTCATCCCCTCCTGGTTTTGCCTACACAGTTCAGCCCTACCCCCATATGCCGATCTCTCTACTCTCCTGCCCTGTCTATCATACATCCTGCCTCCCTCCTCCGTAACCTTTCCTTCGGCCTCGTCCTTTAAGAACTTAGGACATTGCAAGGCCCGATGCCCTTCCTTTGTACAGAAGAAGCAGGACGTATCAAAACACTTCCTGGATCTATTTTTCCCTCTCTGGGATCCTGGCGATGATGGCGCTTCGCTGGCCTCCCTGCTCCGCTCATGGCTATAAGGCATACCCAAAGGCTCCTCTCCTGTCTCCAACCTCTGGGTACTTGGCCCTGGTCGAACCTCAATCTCCTCCGGACCAAACTCAGGCGTATCCAATCTCTAGGGCCTGCCCTCGACGACACCCTCTGTCTCAATCCCCATCTCTCTCTCAAGAGGGTCCTCTATCCTCTGCTCAGGCAAAAACAAACTCGCCTCCTCCTGCATCGAGTGCACTGCCTCAAGGAGCACGTTCATGAATCCCTCTGCCGAGCCCTGAGCTGGCTCACTGCTGGATGGTGGTAGCCCCTCCTCTCCTGCCAATGGTATGACTGGGCCCGCCGCTGCTATAGGTAGCGTCGCGAGCTCAATAGGGGCTCTGAACTCAAAGGCCTCCCTCTCTGCCTCCCTCTGTGCTCTCGCCTCCTCTGGCTCCAGGATAACTCTCCCCATAGGTGGCTCCTGGCGAGACTCTGCTACAGATGGCTGCCCCGACAACCCGTGTCCTGGCTGCCTCTGCTCTCCCTGCCGGCTGCTCTCCGGCTTGTCCGCCCTTCCCTGAGATTGCTGCCTCAGGCTCTCGATGATAGCTGCCTGACTGGCCACCAATGCCCTGAGCTCCTGGATTTCCACCTTCATAGCCTCCAGACGTACTCCATGGCCTTCTTCCTTTGTCTTCTTCCCCGCCAGATCGCTCTCCAATAACAAGTGCCGGTCAAAAGTTGTCTTGGCCAGGAACTTGATTTTGCGATCCAACCTTTCCTCTGCCTTCCTCGCTACCCCAAACCCGACTCTGGTTGGTGAAGGAAGCTCCTCTCCTCTCTGTTCCCAGAAGTCTCTCCACATCTCTGGGATTTCCGGGGCCTTAGCTGGCGTGCTGGGTGGCTGACTCGGGAGTGCCCCTGCTGCCTCCAATCTCTGCCTTTCCTGCTGCTGCTCCGGAAGTGCCCCCGCTGCCTCCAACCTCTGCCTCTCTTGCCATATCTCTTCTATCCTCCTGCTTTTTCTCGCCCTATTTTCTTCGGCTGTTTCTCCAGCCGGCGCCGTCTCCCTCGTGCGGAGGTCAACCCTCTTCGGGATCTTTGCCTCCACCTCCTTCTCTGGCTGGCACGGCTCTGGGCGCAGCTCTGCAGGTGCTGGCTTCTCCAGGTCTGGGTGCTCCAGAGCATGAGCTGCTAGGTGCCTATCAATCAAGGCCAAGGCTTCTCTCCTCACGCTTGCGGTCTCTCTCCTTCTTTCTGCTCTCCTTTCTGGTGAAGGAGCCTTTTCTGATGAAGGCAATGGGGCCTCCTCTCTCTGCAGCCCCTCTCCTGACTGGCGAGTGCTCCCTGGTGCATCCCCGAGTCTCAAACCCACCGGTGGCGTCTGAGGGGGCATGTCCTCTCCAACCTCTATCACTTCCTTCCCTGCACGTCTCCCCTCATCGCCCAACCCTCTCTCTCGCTGAGTATCCCGAACCCCCTTTCGTGGCATCTCCTCTCGTGGCACCTCCTCACGTGGCACCTCCTCACGTGGCACCTCCTCACGTGGCACCCCCTCTCGTGGCACCCCCTCTCGTGGCACTTCCTCTGCTTGTCCTCCACGCTCCTTGCCTCGAGGCGACGCCCCCACCGAGAGACGTCGTGATGCGCCTCTAACTCTCTCAGTGGCCCCTCAGATGCTGGCGCCTCCTCCCGTGTGTGCACATGCGACCTCCTCAATCCACCCTCAATAAAATGGCGGAACTCCACCGGTCCCAGCCCTCTCTCAGGATACGCTCCTCGCTCCTCGCCCTCAGACTCTGACTCCTCCTCTCTCCTGGCTAGGGCCTTTCGTCTCCCTCGAGATGGCCTCGCCTCATTGGGCTCAGGGTCCCTCTGTCTCCTGCTCCTTTGGCGCCTCTCAACTCGGAGCCGAGGCGACTCTGGCCGTCGAAAGGCCTCCCTCAGGTGCGCCCTGCAGCCCTCTTAATCCCGGGCCATATCCCTGATCTGCCTAGCCAGTGGCCTCTCCGCCTTTCTGGTCCAGAGGGGTAACGTCCTCGCCCGATCATCTCTCGGTGTACCCTGCCCCTGCATGAACCACTCGAAGGCGGGAATAAAGTCTGCCGCATTTCCGATCTCTAGGCAGATCGGCCTGCCATTTGGTCCCACTGGCGAGGGCCGTAGCTCCTGCATCCTCATCTCCACCTCTGGCCTCGTCGTCGCCTCTCTACGGATCCGGGCAATGGGCTCCTCAAATCTGCCGGCTCCCCTCAATCTCTCAATCGCCCGGGCCACGGTCCAGCCCGTATGCCTCGCATGTTCCCAGAAACTGTCCAGGAATAGCTCGATGTCCCCATCATCGTACACCGGAGTACTCTCTCGATGGCGAGGCCCATGCCGCTCATATCCTTCTGATGCCCCCAACGGCCTTCGCGGCGGCCGTGTCCCTTTCCCTCCCCTTGGCATGGCTATCTTCGTAAAGTCAGACCTGCACAACAGGCGAAGGAGACAACAGGCACACATTGGGGTAAGCAAACATGTAATAATCGAGGCAGCTCAGACCAGACCACACTCATGCAACATGTAGCCTATCTGACCTATACATCCTACTGCTTCTATTCTAAAGGCAGTCAGATCATCTCTCTCACCTCTTCTCTCGCCACAAATTTCTTCAACCGCGTTCCAGATACCCAGTCCTTCCATTCAGTCTCGTTCAACTCCTCGATCTGGTATGCTCCAAAATCTCCGCACCGCACGATCCGGTAGGGACCTAACCACCTCTTATCGAGTTTCCTGGACCACTGCTTCTCTAACGATGAATCGTAGAGGAGCACGACTTCCCCGACTGACAAGGGTACTTTCCTCACCCGCGCAGACTGGTCCCATCGAGCCTTATCATCCACACAGCTTCTCGCCACCTGATCAGACACCTCCTGTATTCTTTCCTCTATCGCCCCCACCTGCCGCGCCCGAATATCGAGCAATTCTTCAAATGACAGGCTAACTTCCAGATCCTGGCGTCTCCATGTCTTAAGAAAGCTCTCGATAGGGAAGGTGGCATGCCTTCCATACCACAGCGTCGCAGGTGCGTACTTGGTGGATCTTTTTACTGTAATGTTTTCGACAAAGAATGCCGCCCTTAGGTACCTTGGCCATTGATTAGGCCTACCTTCGGTCCACTTGGCCAGGAGGTTCGTAATGGTACTATGCCCTCTCTCTACTGGAGCATTTGCCTGGGGGCGGTCGTGGTGTAGTTAGCTACTACATCATACCTTGATAGCAGTTTTTGCACCTCCTGGCAGGTAAACTCAGATCCCCTGTCCATTACGAACTCCCTGACGAAAGGATAACGCAGGTAGTACTCCTCGATGCAGCTAACTAAGACTGGCCCAATCTTGGTACGAATGGCGCGCCCATCTACGAAGCCAGACAGGTTATCGCGCGCATCGAAGATGTAGTTATAGCCCTGATCCCCAAGCGGCATGAAAAGTAGATCGAGATGCACTACAGCCCCCACCTCTTGCTCTAATCTTGGATGTAGTGGCTCTCCTTGCCTGAAACGGGATCTCTCCTGGCAGGGTACGCAAGGTCGGCAAAACTTCCCGATCATGTCCATCATCCCATCCCAGTAGTACAACTCACTTATTTTGACATACGTGGCTTGAACCCCTCGATGCCCTCCTGCAATGCCGTCATGAAGTACTGCTATGACGTCAATCTGACGGTTCCTACCGCAGACGACTCTCCTGGGATTCCCTACTTCTCTCCTTACGAAAAGATGACCGTCTCGCACTAAGTAGCGCTGCATCATCCTTTGAGCCCTATCGCTCGCATCCCTTAGCCGCATCTCGCAAGACAGAAGGAGTCCCAGCTCTAGGTAGTTCCCGTTATACTCCTCTGCACGAAAGACCTCCTTAATCTCCCCCTCCTCGAGCTCGTCGTCCTGGCTCGGGCACTTCGTCCACATTCTCTGCCGGGTTCAACGAGCCTGATTGGTCGAGGCTTTCCTACAGTAACGTGTTGACGAGGAGATACATTCCTCCCATTAGGTCCTCATGCCGTTCTACCTGGCCTGGTCCTTCCTCGATCGTCCTCATGTCCTCCACCAGACTATGCGAACTAGCCAGTGCCAACTCCATCATCCACTGAACACCCTTACCACCCCAGAAATCCTCTTCTTCAAAAGGTTTGAGGACTAGCTCGGCCCTCCGATCATATCCACTCGGCGCCTGCCAGATAGGATAACCTACACAGCTGGGTACTCGCGGCGACCACTTGTTGATATGGAGACGAACATCTTCCTCCTGATCCAGAAATCCATCAACTGGGGGCGTATTCTCCACCTCCTCCCCCTCCTGTTTATCCCAGTTGATCCGAGTCAGTCCGTCTGCCCGGTTCTTACTGCCAGAAATCCGTTCCAACTCGAAATTAAACATCCAGATGTACGTCAGCCACCTGGCAACCGTCGGATCCGATGGAACATAATTCCTTAGAGAGTAGGCCAGGGCGGTCGGATCCGTTCTCAAAATAAACCTCCTGCCAAAGATGTAGTTCCGGAAGATCCGTAGACAGTGGAGGACAGCAAGGATCTCCCTCTTGAATTGAGAGTAGTTCCTCTCGGTCGTACAGAGAGTCCGACTCTCAAATCTCAAGGGCCTTTTCTTTCCTTCCATGTCTGCCTGAATTAGAACTCCCCCTAAGGCAGTCGACCCCCCATCCGTTTCGACAATGAAGGGTCGCGTCTCCGTGGCATCATAGTCTGGCGCTCCTAACACCAACCCTCCTTCTCGAAATTCCTCCTTCATTCTGGCCACCACCTCTTCTTGCTCTTCACCCCAAACCCATTCCTGATCCTGACGGACTAAAGCGCCTTACCCCTGGCAAGACTTCGTCACTCTCCTTCACTGCCGGCCCCTTCACCGCCAAATCGTCGATGTATGGCTGTGTGATATGGGGGCTGACTGACTGCATAGCCCGAATCATGGCCCGTTGGACCATTGCTACCGCGTTGGTCCACCCCTGCGGGGCCACGTTCATGTGAATTAGTCCTCGCGGCGTGTGCATAGCCGCCACCGGCCTGTCCGGCGGATAGACCGGAAACTGGTCATATCTAGAGTAAAGGTCTATAAGCGAAATTATCGGCTTCCCAACACAGGATTCTGACAGGGCGTCCGCATTTGGCAGTCCTCCAGCATCCCGCACGGTCACCGCATTTAGCCTCTTCAAATCTTGCACCCACCGCAGCGTCCCGTTAGGCTTGATGAAGCAGAACCACGGGGACACATATGGTCCACTCGAATAGTCGGCGGCGTGCGTACGTATCTTGCCGTCGAGGTAATCCACCACCTTCTCTTCCTCGTCAGGATTAGGATATCGCGCCCCTCTCATGTTCCAAGGCTCGTGTGGCACGATGTGGATGCGGATCATAGGTATCTTGTCCACATCCAGCCTGCCACGCTCCTCGTCACCAAACGCATAGGCGCGATGCCTCCTCTTCATCAACTCCACCATCAACGTTCGTTCCTGAGGCAGCAGGAAGTCGGGTTCCCCTATAATCAACTTCCCCTCATTTCCTTCGTTGATACGACATGGCCCTGCTAGAGCACTCTCCCTCATTCGCTGTATCAACCCTCGTTCCCTCTCGTAGTATGCTTCCTCGTCTTTTGTAACGAGGACGGGAACCGGGCAACACTTCTTATCTACCATCTTGTACCGCCTTTGGGAACCCTGCTTGAGCCGTCCCCTAAAAAAGGCCGACTTACAGATTGCGCCTGCGCTGATGCGGGGTTCCTCCTGCCGTCCGGAAGACGATATACCAGCTCCAACCTTCCCGCCTCGGGGCATTCCAGGACCTGCTCCCTCAGGGCCTGAATGGCATCCGGATCTGCCATCTCATGCGCGGCCACCAAGTCCATGGCCTTCTCGACGTCCGGCAGGCTGAGGGAAAATGCTTCCACCTTCTCTTCTCCTTCTGGCTCTGCTCGGAGCCTCCGGCGCTCACTTTCCGACTCTTCGATTGTGAAGGATCCTAGGTTGGGCCGGTTCCTTATGCTTCTTGGCCCTGTATTTCTGCAGGTGATTATCTCGTAATTCCCGCAGGCAGGGTCACATAGGAGGAGAATTAACGTCCCGTCATGCTTATTGAACATCACGGTCTCCGTCCTGCTCAGGAATGACCTCCCCAGGAGGATTCCGTGATCCACGTCCGGCATGATGAAGAAACAAGCCCGGGCCTTTACCTTCCCAACCTTGATGAGTACATTCGAGGCTGTCCCACAAAACACGGCCTTGCAGCTGGCCCCATGTAGAATCCTGCAATCAGATCGGTCTATATCCAGCCCAAACCTGATTGCATCGGCCTCTCTGATGATGTTCATTTCAGCTCCCGTGTCCACCATCGCCGCACACTTGGAGCCCTTTACCACCAAGTCCACTGTGCCGCAGGCCACGCATTTCCAGTCCATTTTCGTGCCCGATTCCGCCCACTCGGCCTCTTTGGGCAGGATCGTACCTAGATGGACATTAGGCACCAGGCGCCGTGACAACCTCCCCTTCAATTCATCGCGGAGCCTTGGGGCTGACGCCGAGATTTCTTTCAGGGTCATAAGGTCATTATGCCCTTCTAACAGCCTGTCAATTACTCTTTCCACATCAAACCCTTCTTCCAACCGAACTGCGTATTTCTTCTTCTTAGGCGGTCCGTCACGCATGACCAGTCTGGCCTCTTCCCTGGTTCCTTTTCTCCGCGCCCGCTGCTACGCTTTCTGATCCTCTTCCCGGCGCAGCCTCTCGTTTTCTTCCTCCTCCTCCTCCTCATCCTCCACTTCCACGGCTTTTTTCCTTGTTCCTGGTTCCGGCTCCTTCCGGAGGGGCTCTTGGGTGGCATTGGCCTTGGCCTGACTTCTTGTCCGTGCTGCCCGCGCCAGCCGGGCCTGCGGGGTGAGGGGACTCCCCATCACCCCCGATTGTGGGCCCGACCCCACCATATTTACTTCGGGTCGCCCGGGCGCTGACTCCGGGCGGGAGTCGTACAGGAACACCTTGGGGATGCTAGACCTCCATTTCCTCACTTCCTCACAGAAGTGCACCAACTTCTGTTGGTACCTCCCTTCCTCCACTTTTCCCAATAAGACGGATGGCGGTTTCATCCTTCTTTCCTCGTCCTCGTCGTCCGATTCGATGATTATGGGTTCTTCCCTCTTACTTCCTCCTCGTGGCCCTTGAGTCACTTCCTCATCGCTCCCCACTTCCTCTACCCCAATCAGTGGTTCTTCCTTTTCCTGTCATAACCTGAATTCCTCTATCCCCATCGATGGTCCTTTCTTCTCCTGCCACAGCCTGAACGTGGCAGGAGGTGGCGGCCCGGCTGCCGCCCTTCGTTGGGCTTCCGCTCTCACTCCCCCGAGCCTTCTATCAATGAAGTCCCCAAACTGATCATAGATGTTTCCATCCATAGTGGAGGAAATCAGCCCGCTCCTTTCATCTTCCCGCCTTATATTACAGAACCTTATGGTGTGGCCTTGCTTATCGCAATGTTGGCAAATGGCCGACCTCCTGTCAAAATGGGCCCTTCCGTACCCTTGACTTCCCTGATCCCCCTGGCCTTGGTCCCCTTGGCCTTGATGCCCCTGGCCTTGGTTCCCCCGACCTTGACCATTCCATTGTCCTCCTTGTCCGCCGCCATTCCTGCCTCGCCCCCTTCCTCCACCCCTTCCTCCGTTGCCTTGATTGCCCTGCCCCTGGTTCCCACCGCCAGCCACGCTTCCCTATGAACTGAGAGCGGGTGATGGCGGCGGGGCCATAGGCTGGGCCTGGGCTGCGGGGTAGATGGGTGGCGGCATACTTATTTGTGGCCCGGCTACTGGCGGCGTGCTACCCTATGGCACATTTGCATTGATCACCGGCCAGGGCCACTGTCCGTAGGATGGTGCCCCTCCTTGCGAAGGGCCTGCAATGGACGATGGTGCCGCCACACTTGGAGGAGTCGCCGCCAAAGCCTGGGGCGTCTGCCCTTTTCCTGACCCCTGCCCACCCTGCACCAAGTTACGCAGTTTGCGCTGGGTTTTCGTCAGGTGCTGCGGCACTGGTTCTTCCTCTTCCCAGAGCTCCTCCTGAACGACCTCCTCCACCACCTGCTCCTTTCCTTTCACCTGGACAACCGTCACTACCCTTCTCTGCACCACCGGCTCCGTCCCGTACCCTAGCTGCGTCAGTACGTCCGTAACAATCCTTTTTACTCCCGGGGTCCCAGAAGCGGTCCATCTCTTTCCTTTCTCTTCTGCCTATGCAGACGTACTTGACATTGCTCCACCTGGTCCAAGCATCCGACTTCCACCCCTTTGTCAATGGTGGCCCAGGTGAGCTTGGTGCTTCCCCCTCCACGTCTTGTCAGCTCGACGGCCTCCGATGCCGTAAGTAGCCCTAGGAAGATGACGCATTGCGGCTCCTCCGAAATCCCATGGACCGTCTGTGCCCTCTTCTTGAATTCTTGAACAAAGGCCCCTATCGTCGTAAAATCTTCTTTGTTCATTGCCTCAAGGTCCGTGGTGGTCAACAATCCGTCTCCCAGGCGATATTTCCTCAACATTCATTCCTTGAAGCTTTCCCAACTACCTTGGGATGCATCTATGACTTTCTTCACTTCTTGGTGGTAGCTGTGGAGGACATACTGGAGAATGAGTTGAAACTTTACAACATCCGACCGCCCGACCAAAGCTTGTTCCACCCGCTCCAGGCAGTCTGAGACTCTCTCCCCACAAAAATAGAAGGTATCAACCTTAGGGATATTGCTCGGGTTCCTTTCATACCGGTCAATAGCCGCGATGAGGTCATCGAGCGTCAGGCCCTTCCTGGCGCCATCCGATGCGCCGCCAGTCTCAGGCATCTTGACAGCCTCTTCTTTTCAAGCTTCCTGACAAGAGAGAACAAGCACATCCCCTTATTCAGCATTACACCTCGACCGGTCTATTCCACCCGCTCTACCTAACTCTTACTACATACTTTACCCAATACTAACACTGTCATCCCTCATAACTTTCCAAGCTCAGGTAGGTAAACTTCCTCACCTATACTTAGTCGCTCATTATTTTTCCTTACCGTCTCATCATTCCTTTATGCCTTTTTCCCATTCACTTCTCATACACGGATGTCGTTCCACCAGGGACAACGATAGGCTTTCCGTTATCCCCGGCAACGGCGCCACCTTTCGAGCGCATCGGTCCAACACCGCATCAGGGCAGCGCGGGACCCTCCCGACCGCGTCACGCAGGAGTTGGTTTAATCCTTCGTCGAGAATATACATGTGGAACTTCCTTAAGCCGCTCCGGCCGAGTGCGCCAGCCATACCTCTCGCGAGCCCCTACGACAGGATAGGGCCTACGCGAGGCACAACTTACCTCCACCTTACGGGAGCTGTCACCTCCCTTCGGTGGGCGTATCCCCGCTGAGCTACCAGTCCACAGTACGGAAGCTAATCAGTTGCAATCGCAGAGGTGGACCAGCCGAGGGCGATTTCTCGTTCGCTGTAGCATAGGGGGTACGCGCGGTAGTACGCCTCTATCGGACCCGCACGCGGACCAACATCTTGGGGGGCTGAAGTCCCAGGCGCGGTCCGTCGTCGGTCGACTAGGACGCATCCCACATACCACGCGCACACCACTTTACGAACACGAAAATAAAACACACACACATACTTACGAAACGACACAACACAAACAATGCGACAACGCTCCTAGTCCCTCGGTAGCCATCCCATAACTTTCCAATGCGGAAGTTGGATAGGCGTCGCGCGCGAGACTTAGTAGAAAACCGCGCGGACGCAGGGCCTACTCATATCGACTCGCAATGCAGGCGTACGCAAGCAGTCGCAATGATGACGTACTATGTAGTGCCCATAATCAAGCGGTCCCTCGTGGATCCGAGTACTGCTTATGATACTCAAGTGTCAGACTCGAAGTGTCGTGAGGGTCTAATCCTTCACGACATTGCACGGCTGAAGAAATAGTCGTGCAACCGCCGCGAGACCTCCGGCCTTTGGTCTGAGCGTCTCGGTAGGCAAGGCAAATAGGCTCTGCACGGGGGCAGATTCCTTCCCTGCAGAGTCTAGGGCTTGGGATGTCTTGGACAAGGACCTTGAATCCCGGCCCAGGACCAACGTCCGACTAAGAAAACCCCCAAGAAGCAAAGTAAATACAAGGAAGGGCCTTCCCCTATGCCTCTCATTCTTAACCTCTGAGTAGGCTTTTAGTACGGGGTGAGTATGGCTCCTTAGCCAATGCAAACACTCACCCCAAGTACACTTATGTTTTTATATATATATATATATATAAAGGGGCTAAGTATGTGACGATCACTTCTCACAGTCTCATTGGGGTCCCTCACAACCATACATATATATGTGATCGCAGACAACCAAATCCAGAATCTGATTCACAGCACATACTTGCAATCACATCGACGAGTCGAATCAACAGCCCACGCACTACACGGAGTCAACCCCAACCATCTTCGACATTCATACCCCTCGTTTTAGCCATGCAAGCCCCAACCTCCTGTCCAACCAACCTTAATTAAATACTCAGTGCTTTTGTTAAATGGCTATTCAATAAAAGTCCGGGTGAAACCTTAATGAAACAATGAAATCACCAGGGCTAAAGCCTTTCAGGTTGAGTGTGGAGGGTGAGTTGAAATTGAGTCGTAAACCGACGAATCGACAACCGACCTGTTATCAGTGATAACAGATGATGATCCTCAAGGGATCAAGCTGAATCTAGTCCGGATCTTGAATCAAACAATCAAGGGGGTCTGTAACACATGATAGGTCAATGCCCCTGGTTGAACCTATAAGTTCATGGAGGACAATCTCCATACCGCGATCTTATCCAAATCATCCTAGTTAACTATATCTAAGCTTATCTCTAAGCAACATGGTCAAATCTCCCTCACTCAGAGTGGACCACCAAAATCGCCATCTGTCAAAATACAATCTAATCCCTCTAATTAAGAAAATTTCGGCAGCGCTTCCCGTAGGAAAAGTGCCTTTCCATAATTTATATAGATCCAAATATGAAAGCAGAAATAATCTTCAACTCTGGAACGCCAAATTCTGTCTAACTCCCTGAATTAGTAAAAATTTGGGCAGCACTTCCTTTAGAAAGGGAAACTTCCCAGATTTATAGTAAGTCAAATATGAACTCAAAAGACAACTTTGAGTTCAACTTAGATAAGATTTAACTAACTCCTTAGTTTCTCAGAAATTTCGGCAGCACTCCCTTTAGAAAAGTGTTACTCCAAAATTTATACAAGGCTAAGTCCAAAATTTGAGAATAACTTTGACTTCTCAAAGTCCAATTTTGTCCAACTCCCTTAATTAGCAAAACTTTGGGCAGCACTCCCTTTAGAAAAGGAGACTTTCCAGATTTTTACTAGGTCAGATATAAAGAAAAGACAAGTTGAACTTTGACAAGTCAAAATTTGACTAACTCCCTGGATTTGTAGAAATTTCGGCAGCGCTTCCCGTAGAGAAAGTACCTTGCCAAGATTTATACAAAGCCAAGTACAAAAAAATGATCCCAAAAAGTGCGATAATTGATCTAAGTAAAAAAAACTTAGCTCAGAAAATGCAGGAATTGAAACTAACTCCTATAGCTCTAGCACGCGGCGAGCAACTAAAGCAACTACCTATCAAACTGAAACTCGGACCAAGTAATAACCTCATTCAGCCACATGCAGACCAAACCACAAAGGTAAGTATTCTCACCAGCCCCAAGTCAACCCAAACAAACAATAATTCATGGTCTCTCAATGATTTAACCCTTTATACCCAACTTACATAAGGCATAGGCCAGGCCGCCTGAACTTACAGAGCGCGCCCAACTTAGCCAGGCCTAGAGTCAGAATACCTAAACTTATAGAGCGTTCTGACTTGACCAAATATACACAAACAGAGGGCACAACTACTTTTCTCTTCTTTGGGCATATGACTAGACCACTCTAGTCGCCCTGAACTGTTTAAAGTATCCAGGTTATATATACTTGTCTTCACCTTTATCTTCTAAGGCTGCATATGACTGAACTAACTTAAGTTCAGTCTGCCCCAGTTTACCATCAGTTTTATTCTTAGTTATACTCTCTTTAAGTTGTGATACGGCTATAGTCAGACTACCTAAACTTATAGAACAGTCTGATTAGCTCGTTCTTTAGATATAATAGTAGTAAAGTATAGCCAAGTTATAACCATTGGGTTCCAACATGTGCGAGGCTTTGAGCCAGACCCCCTGAACTTACAGAAGGATCTAACTCTCTGCCAATTTCATTTCTCTCTGAATTATCATGTGTGTGACATCGAGTCAGACCCCCTAAACTTACAGAAGGATCTGCCCCTTTGCCAAGGTTATTTCTTCAGAATAAAGAGCAGGAAGAGGTTGAACCACCTAAACTTACAGAACAACTCAGACCTCCTCGTTCAGAAACAAAAGAAACTTAGGAAAAACCCAAAGAAAACAAGTGAACTTAAGGCACCAAAACTTATTGAGCGCCCTGAGACCTTGGAAATCAAGTGCAATTAAACCCCTCATAGGTCAGAGCAGTCAGGCCACCTAAACTTACAGAATAACCTGACCGTCCATGCAAGCCATAGCACTAGGTCTCCCCAAACTTATGGGGACACCCCAGCCTCCAGAGTAGTCAGACCCTCTAAACTTATAGAAGGGTCTGACNTCCATGCAAGCCATAGCACTAGGTCTCCCCAAACTTATGGGGACACCCCAGCCTCCAGAGTAGTCAGACCCTCTAAACTTATAGAAGGGTCTGACTTCTCCATGMAAAACCAAAATAAAACAAAGCACTGGGTTTCCCCAAACTTATGGGGACCTCCCAGCCTTAACGACCCRATCAACCATCAAGCAAAACACAGCTSCATCCTGCCTTTCCCAAAATGCAGTTCTTTTCAGCAATCTGAATTCACACAATCAACAAAGTTGAAACTGAAACTTGAACATACATTCTTTTACTTAGTCTTGTTCAGTGTGCTGAAAGTCAAACCAAAAATAGAGTAGGGATGCACTGCATATACTCAGTCAGCGATGCAATAGGAGATACAGATAAGGGTTATAACTTGGTTTATAAAGGGAAAGCAATGGTTACCTGTCAATTCCCTGCCTCCAGAGCCTCGCCTAGGTTCCGGCAGAGCTCCCGCAATCGGTGGGTAGACTCCCCACAGAGTCTTGGTGCGGTCCTACGGGTTGCAATCCCGCCTACCGCCTTCCTCTCAGATCAGGACCAGACTTAGAGTAAGGGGGGTAGAAGCAGGGGGTTTGAGACTCTCAGATACAAGGGGGGTGCTCTCAATCTCACTGGAGAGGGCCTTGTTATCTTGATGCGCCYGAGGGCCCCGCAATGGCGGCCGAATAACTCAACAGCTTGGCCGACGCTGAAGTCAAAACTATAGGAGCTAACCCTCTGCCGAACCTTCAACCCGCAGCAACACCTTCCTTCCCCGACTCCGTCCACCCTCTAAGTCTTCTAAGTCCCCGTGCCCTTGGCAGCTTGCATGCTACCTGTGTTGTCTCTCTCTACCCTCTGCCGCCTGCTATAACTTTGCTTTCCCCCAACGAACTGCAAAACTTGATCAATGTCAAGAAGGAGCGCATCTCTTATCTAAAGGACTGACACAAATTACATTTTGCTGCCAAATCCGCACATCGAACCGACCGGGCATCAAGCAGCCCCCATCTAGCCTCCCGTTCCTCACGTACCCAGTTTGACCGCCTGGCCGTATCAGCTGCAACCCGACTCACACTCCAGTTCCACCGCTCGGCTGGACGGTGCATGGCACAACAGACAAGACTCCAACTTCGTTGCTGCCCCTACGCCACCACCATCAATAGTGCTTGCAAAGAGAACCGAGCGGATCCTCCACGGCCGTGAGTCCCTAGCAAGATGGAAACCCCTTCTCCCCGTCGGCATCTGCCCACACGTCGGGGCAGGTTCACTCAAAGGTACGCGCTCCCTCTTACCTCCTTCAAAAACTGGAAATGAATCTTCCGCTTAACTGCGGGAAGGTTCGTTACTATCTCGTAGCTTCCTTCCTTGCTCTATCCCTGATCTGCTGCTTCGCCCGACCCTCATGCCGAGGTTGTGGGACCGCTTGCTCGGCTGGACTCAGTCAAAGCGAGGAGGGGGCTAAATATCGAGGGGAAAAAACTTCTCAGATTGCAATGATGGGGAGGAAGCCTCCCTCACGATCGAGCGAAGGTAAGGCACATGGGATAAGCATCACCTCTAGGTGAGTAAGGAACAAGAAAAACGAGGGAAGGAAAAAAAAACAAAGAGGAGTGAATCTCCTCGCAAAAATCGGTTGGGTTCACTGTTGTTTTTCGCAACTCTCTCCCGGGCGTAGCTTTCTTACTAACGAAACTCAAAAACTAAGCACTAAATTCCAATTCTACCATCCCGGTTACGATCGCAACCCCGAGAGACTTCTGCTTCACCTCCTCTTCCCCTCAAAACCGTAGAGAAACGACTAAGGTAAAACCTTCCTTCGCCTCGCCGTACCTGCCCCCGCCACTCTCTCCTTTTCGATGTGCATGTACCTGGCGCGATCCGTCGTCCAAGTTCATGCCAGCATTTCCCCCCTTTCGCGCCCTCATTTCCCCTGTTAACTTCTGTCCCACTAACTCCCTTCCAAAACTAACTACAGATTCGAGATCGCCTCCCGTTAAAACCCCGAATTAGACCCTCCCTTCTCGTTCGGTTCCCGAACGAGATACCGGACTTCATCTCCCACCACGTTGCTTTCCGCCATAGCCTGTGCGGCTCCTTTTTTCTACTAACTATCTCTATACTAACCCTTTCCTAATTCAAACTTCGTATTCGGGGTCGCGAGCCCCAAAAACCTTGGTCTAGCACTTTCCCCCACCTGATTCTATCAAGAATCCAGCGAGGTGAGTGTTTTTCCCCCTCCGCCATATCCAACTCTTCACTTCCTCCGCGCAGCCTTATTCTCTTCTACCCGTCCATACACTCACTCATTACCAAATCAGAGGTCGCCACCTAACTCGCCCGCTGCTGAAACCCCGAAGCTGCCATTTTCCCTGCTCAAAACGGCTAAGAACCGAGTGAGTTCCTCCCTCCTCGCTGCGCCCAGCCTCTTGCCATCTACATTCCCAATTCAACCCGGCGCAGCATCGTGCCCCGGTTCGTTCAAACTTCCCTTTTCCCCACGCACACTGTCTCCTACCTCGCGTTGTTGTCAACAACGACTAGCGCTCCGCTATTCGGACAGCACAAAGGTCGGTTCACACAATGACCGGATAAAAGCAAGAACAAAAAGTTCTTCTCCACTTATGCGCACCATCCGTGCGCGGGAGCCACGCCACTCTTCTCCATATCGTTCCAATTTTTGACGGATGTCCTGGAGGACTTACCCACGGTAGTGCCCCACGACGCTACCGAGAGGTCACACAACCCTCGTCTCTGATCGCACCTAGCACTGACTCGTACCCAGATTTGGTCCCCCGACGACCCAACTGTCGCAGTGCAAATTAGCCGGACTGTACCCTCCGCTATCCCGAGGGAGAGGGTCTGAGGAACCAGTTACCCGGTGGTTCAATTAGTCCTTYGCCCCTATTTTGAYAGCGCTCARCACYGTGATCTACCCGCTGTCGCGCAGGCTGGTCGGACAAAGGTGGCGGCCCCGAAAACCTCCTTTGCAGCGTAMCTACGGCTCCTCGGGGCCGGGTCAGCCTTAATCGATCCGTAGACGATTTTTGGCTGGTACTTGCCYGRCCCCGCCCGTCTTATGTATATCGTCCTTGCGCGGGGGTCATGCTATCCTTCTCTGAATCACTCCAATTTTAACGGGTGTCCCGAAGGATGCACCCGGCAACCCCCTACGRCTCTGCAAAAAATGGCCTGGGGCAAGTCAGGGATATGGGTTTTACTCATCAAATCCCACCATCTGGCTCCGAACTCAGATCTGTATCTCCACAGTTCAATGATATGCTTCAACTGTGTTTTCGCGCCCACGTACGGGCACGATAATAATAATAACTAAGTAAAACTGAGAAATAATATATATATGCATATATAGAAACGAGCGGTAGTCGGGCAGGGACCATGGCACCCCTCGTTTCTACCCGTACCCGTCACAAGAACCCGTCCGGGTTCGCCCGTGCTGCACTACACTCGTATTCCACTCTTACCTCCCGTCGTAGCTCATGCATCTCGGAACAGGACGCGATAGCCGGGGCCAAAAATAATAAAGCCAAGGAAAAAAATAAAATACTGTAAAGTAAGAGTAACGTCGGGGCACCGTGGGGCCGCTGGCACCTTGCGAAACCCACGAACCGGGCCCGCCGACCAGGCCACCAACAAAACCTGAGGGGGATAGCCCCGTCGGGCCCTCGACCCCTCGGGTTTCTTCACGCTGCTCTGATGCTGCTGCATCGGCGCTCACTGGCCTCGATCCCCAAACCTCCGCCGTGTAAGTCCTGTACCGTACGTAACCTATAGGGCTAAGCCCAAGCCTGGTACCAATGGGCGCGGATCTCCTAGTAAAGAGGTAGCCCACGCCACTTCTCGGCCCACATTTGCACGCCGGCCTCCCTGCTGTGCCGCGGCTACCCTTCCCTAACCGAATCCATCAGGTCCCATCATTTGGATTCCTCGTACGTCCACACCGACTCATTGAACCGTCCACCGTACACCGCGGAACCAGAGAACAAAGCGCTCATAGGTTACTTGGTTTAATCAAACAGAAATAACATACGTCGACCAAAGTCCATGCCACGTCTGCTATTTGTAATCAAAACAAAGGGGGAAAATCACGCGCGCCTCAAACTTGCGCGCCCATTCACCCTCTAATCTGGCCAAGTGCTGGGCCACCGTAGCCTTCAAACATCGCTGCGCCTTGCGCAGCATACTCGAACTTTTAGAATTATTTGTCTGTCATTTGCAAAAACCAGGGCGGATACCCTTGTAAGGGTATTCGCGCCGACACCGTCCTCGAGAGTGATCCCGTGGCGTATGGGCCGATCCGGTACAACTCCGGCGGGAGCTTGGAAGACATCCTTATAGCTGTCCAACAATCCCATGATACGTGGGTCTGATGTGTCCGTCTTGGGCTGGTCAACGAGTGGGAGGGCGTGAAGAAAACAAATGCCCATCTCCTCGATGTCGTGCCGGCTGATGGATTGGCGAATGCTCGCCGCAAAAACCACGTGACAACCAATCGAAGGATGAGGAAGTGGCACTGTACATGGGACTAGTTCGCCACGTCGATCACGAACGTGAACGGTGCGTCGGTAAAGTTCACCGGATGGTCTTTGCGTTGCAGCCACGACATGCCTAAGATCATGTCCAACTTAGTGTCCAAAATGTCGAATGACACGGCCTCGCATGCTAGCGGGGCAAAGTACACGGGCATGGAGTCAACGCAGCGGTCGATTGACTTTTGCGTGTGAGCATTGGCCAACGTGACGTGAGTAGGCTGACTTTTCCTTCGAACGCGCGGGCCTAGCCCGACGCGTGCCATGAAGTCTTGGCTGATGTAGTTGCGAGACGCTCCACACTCGATCAAGGCACTGCAGGTTGCCTATCCGATCTGAATGCGGATGTAGAGGAGCGGCGCGTCGATGTCAACGTACCGTTGCGTTGCGTGATCGCGGTCGATCTTCGCAAGATAGCTACGAAGGTCAACAACTGCTACCCTGCCGTCCGTCGACAGAGGTGGTACTGCAGCGTGCAAGTATCCGCGCAATTGTGCCATGAGGGCGTTGCAATGCGGTGTTGGCAAAGAACCGGTGGAGGGAAGAGGCAACCATTGGAAGTCCTCAACCGTCAATGGGTCGAGTTCCTCAAGACTCGCCCAAGTTGACGGATCCTCCGATAGAAGGGCTGGCGAAGCGACCGGTTCGTTGGCCGACAGCGGAAACACCACGCATGCGCTTTAATCTTGCACGTGGAGGGCTGGTTCAAAGGCGGGACCCGCTCGACAACATAGATCTCGAAGTCAATCCGAGAACTTGCGACTACCGCGTCATCCCTGGACGTGAGAGAGACTGCTAGCAAGGCAGCCGAGTCCGGCGGATTGGGAAGTGATGTCACTGCACTTCTCGCGGTGCTCAGTTTCCCGAGCTTGGACGCTTGACATTTTCCTTGTCCTTGTCGAGGCATGCACTAGTGATGTGCTTGGTGCTGTAGCACCATAAACATCATCCCCATTTCTGCCTCAACTTGAACATATCTTCGGTGATACCGAACTTCGTCCGTGGTCCATCCGCCGACGCTGTTTTCGCCTTATGTTTTCCCCCACGGGGTCTTGAGCATTGCGGTGGTATCGCTGCCGCCACATCTTCATCACTTGACGTTGAAACGTTTGCGTGGTCCTCGCTAGATCCTTGCTGGATCGCTGCTACTTGCGGCGTCCGCTGACCTTTTCCTTTCTCCACGTAACCAGGTTGTTGTCGGGCCTCATTGGCCACGCGCCGGTTACCTTGTATGAGTTCCCTTGCCTTTGAGATCATTGCGTCAAAGGTCTCATACTGAAATTCGCTGCCAAGGGCAGCTGTCAAACCGTCGCAAGATCGGGCGAAGAACTCAGCCCGGATTGCGTCGAACGGCAAGTTTAACTCCAGGGTGGCGACGAGTCTTTGCCACTCCGTCAACGTTTGTCGTTGTTGACCATGAACCGGGTCTTCCACTTCTTCTCGAATTCTTCCCACGTGATCTTGGTGTGGAGGGTGGCAATGGTGCACTCCAACGTGACGGCCATGCGAGTCATGAAAGCCTGCGCCCCTCCAATGAGTTGGAGGTAAAGTGCGTCAAGCCGCCGTTTGGGTGGGGCGTGATGTACGTCTGCCTCTGCGTTGAACGCCATCCACCACTGCAGCAGATCGGTCTTGTGGTAATCGTCGAACTTCTCAATCTTGAAGTCCGGCATCTCCCATTCCTTGACGACGGCGGCCGTTCGTTGTTGAACGTGGTCGCTGAGCGTCTGCAGCTGATTGCTGATTGTCGATGCTCCAGCAAACGTGCTGATGTCGCCAAGGGATGCTACCATGTGGTTGATCCGCTCCTCGAGTTGCTTGTCTTGAGCGGCCAAAGTTGGGCTGCAGTCTGCCACTGCACTACCCGTCGACTCGACTGCAGACAGTCGTGCCAACCCTGTGCTGACAATGGTCTGCAGCTGGTCGTTGATGGTCTGCTGCTGGCTGTTGGCGTCCTGCAATGTGCTGTTCTCGGCCTGCAATGCCGCGATCTTCAGGTCTATCGACCGGAAAGTTGCTTCGTAGCAGATGAAGATCTGCCGCATGACCAGCAGTTCGCGTTGCTGCCAATTGCACGTGTACAACAAATTCTCCATCAATACTGTTGTGGATTCCTTGTCGCTCTCTTCCTCGGTCGGCTCCTCTTGTTCTTCTGTTGTTTGGAAGTGCTGCCGTCGAAGTAGCCTGCTGTACATGGCTTCATCTTTTGTGAGGTCCATTGTGGCCTGGTAACGAGCTTGATTCGGACTTGCCTCGACCTGCTGATGCTGCAAACCGTGTGGCTGCTGCTGCTTCGGCTGCGGCCTGCTGACATGCTGCTTTGGCCCTTCCAGCTGATGCTGAATTGCGTGCTGGCGGGCGGCCTCCTCCTTTTCCCATTTGCGAAGTTCGGCTGCAGCAGTCTCCGTGTAATGTTGGAGACGTTCGAGAAATGCGAGTTGCGATTCATCTGCCTGCCGGACTGGCATGGGAGGAGTGACCGGCCGCTTGGGGCTGGCTTGCGTATTGATGTCGGCAATTTCGACCATGGTCGTGCGTTGTCTGCGCCGGATCCGAGGTGTCTTGGGTCCCTGTTGGGGCTTGGTTCTTGCGGATCCGCGCTCAGCAAGCCGTTGACTGCGGCGCATCAAGTAGTCCTGGCTTCGTTGCTGCTGACGTGTCACTGCTGAGGTGGCACCTTGCTGACGTGGCACTGCTGAGGTGGCACGCTGATGATTTGGCAATCTGTTGTCGTGGCATGCTAGGTGGCACGCTAGGTGGCATGCTGCTGATGTGGCAATCTGCTGTCGTGGCACGCTGCTGATGTGGCACAATGCTGACGTGGTCGGAGACTGAAGTTCCCAGTACCGAGAGGAGGAGAGAGAAGGTAGGGGCGGGAGGAAGCGAAAGCAAGCAAACAATGCACAGACAGTCCCTTTCTTCCCTGACCTCGAACTTGACACTAATCAAAAGAAAAAAATCCCCCCGGAAAAAGTTTGAATTTTGAAAAAATAAATATTAAATATTCAATGATTTAATTAAGTAAATTTAATCAAGCAAAATACGAGTTAATTACATAAATTTTTAAATTTGGCAAAAATTAAATATTTAATTAAAAAAAATACTTAAATTTGCAAAAATAAAATTGAATGAAGTTTAAATAAGATTAAACATTTAATTAGAATATTTAATAATTTCATTTCATCGGGAGAATTTAGCATCCTTACGAGCTCATGAGGTAAGTAGAAGATCAATGGTGGCAGGAAGATACACAATTTGCTGTAAAGATTCAAACTTCAATCGCAATAAAAGATGCGTTTTGGAAAAAGTGAAAGGTCCGTGAAGTTGAACTTTGAATGTGGCCGTGCTCAGGCCCAATCTGCCTTAATTGGCGCGGTGCCTGGCTGACACTTACTTCCCATAGGCTTGATAGGTCGTTAGATTAGGTTAGGACTAACCCTAATTAGCGCTAATTAGGTTAATCGTGATTACCGATTTCCTAATTGTGCGCAGTATGGAGAAAGCCGCCAAACCTAAAATTAGGATTCAAACGACGTAATTAACTATGTAAGTAGAAGAAAAGAGAAAATTTGCAACTTGCGATTTAATGATAACAGAGTACAGGTTTAGATATCAATCAATCAATCAATCAATCAATCAAGCGTGAGTCATCCAATGCGGTCTGCTCCGATACCAAACTGTTGCATACTCGTGAAACACGGTCATAAGTATGACACAGATTCCCAGAACCGACTAGATAATACAGAGTTAATAGAAATACAGCGGAAGACTTGAGATACATGGATTGACTCAGACCTAACTCAGACTGCAACGAAACACTCACAAACATACATCGGTGGTGTGAAAGCCCTGGCCTTGGACACAGAAGAAAAGGCCAGGGTCTGAGATCATACACGGACGAATGGAGGGAGAGGAGAGACGAAGGAGGAGGAGAGGGAAGTTGACGTAAACACCATGAATCCGGAAATAGAATCTCGAAAGTCATAAGTAACGCAAATCCGAATGTGACGCCGCAAGGCATTCGTCCGCTCGCGGTCAAAGTACAAGTCATTCAAGATTGGTCGGACCTCGCGTGTACTACCGACGTCTGCTCCTTTCTTGGATTAGCATCATACTACATGCGCTTCGTCAATAACTTCCAACCGATCGCTGCACCATTGTCGCAACTTCAGTCCCCCTTGGTGCCCTTCGAGTTCAATGACGAAGCTCGGCACGCGTTCCATACGCTGAAGATGACTTTGCTTCAAGCTCCTGTCTTAAACCACCAGTACCCTGCCCAGCCAAACTTTTGTCGCCTCCTGAATTCATAGAGGGCGTGGGCAGGCCTGGTAGAGGCTCGGTACAGCCTCGACGCATGCGTAGTGGTCGCTCGTTTTGAAAACGGAAATGGGCGACCAGAGAATAAATAAAAAAACAAAGAAAAAAAGAAAAGTGAGAAAACGGAAGAATATTTCTCCCTTTGAAAACGGCGCGAGCGGGGGGCTGTTCCTCTTGATGCGGCGCAAGTTCTGGAAACAAAGGGCCTCGCTGCACTACTCTCGACATGCAGAAAAGACAAAAATCATGGCGGTGCATCTTTCCACATTCTAGCGGAAGATTCACTCTCGTTTTGCACATTTCGAGAGTAGTGCAGCGAGGCCCAAAGACACTCACGCCATGTACAAGGGAAAAAAAAAAGGACAGATACACGAAATGTGCTCGTTTTGCACATTTCGAGAGTAGTGCAGCGAGGCCCAAAGACACTCACGCCGTGTACAAGGGAAAAAAAAAAGGACAGCTACAGGGCCTCGCTGCACTACTCTCGAAATGCGCAAAACGAGAGTGAATCTTCCGCTAGATCATGAAAAGGTACACCCCCATGATTTTTGTCTTTTGTGCATGCCGAGAGCAGTGCAGCGAGGCCCACGCCTCATCCTACGTGATCAGATTCGCTTGCGATCCACTTCTCGCCACATGTACAAACCGAGAGTGAATCTTCCGCTAGAACACGGAAAGATACACTGCCATGATTTTTGTCTTTTGTGCATGTCCAAAAAGTTTCGTGGCCCTTTTTGGTTTATTTTTTATTTTTACTAAATCGAGAAATTGTCCAAAAGAAGGAAAAAAATAAAATAAAGATTGACTGCCACGATTTGTCTTTTGTGGTAGCTGCGGACATCCTACGAGATTTGCAATGGCCCATGCTGAACACTTTTCCAGATTACTGAAATGGGAATGAACTTTACGCTGGAACATGGAAGGATACAGAGAAGATCAGCATGGCCCTGCTGAAGAATGATGATTGCTGGCAATAGAGCCATTCACGGCTCTCTGACTACGATCCCGCCATCCGCGCCTTCGCCTGCTCGTCTGGCAGGAGCAGCCAGCGTATGGGGAAAAAGAAAACGTATGACAGAAAAGGAAGAAGGGAAAAAAAAAAAAAAAAAACAAGGGAGGGAAAAAAAACGAAATAACGAGCACTGAAGTACCGGTCGCCAGCATTGAAGGACTGGTCAGCCCCGTATCACGACCACTCGCAAGCTGGATTCCCATAAGACAAAGGTTCGGTAGCTTGCCAACAATGAGGTTTGGGAAGGCTGCTTCGGGGGTACTGGTGGTTTAAGCATCTATGACCCGACCTTGCCAACCAAAGTGACTACGGATGCTTCCGGTTACAACATTGGCGCGGTTTTGGAACAGCATGACGGCGCATACTGACATCCAGTTGAGTACTTCAGCCAAAAGGTGTCGCCCATCAATTCTCTTGATGATGCGAGGAAGAAGGAACTGCTAGCTTTTGTCATCGTGCTTAAGCGTTGGCATCACTTTCTCCTCGGGAGTCGGCGATTCACGTGGGCAATGGACAACAATCCGTTAACTTATTATAAGACGCAAGACACGGTGAGCAGCACGATTGGTCGCTGGATGTATTTCATCGACCAGTTCGACTTCACCTCCAAGCATATTCCGGGCCCCTCGAACAAGGCAGCGGATGCTCTCTCGTGAAGACCCGATCTTTGCGCCTTGGTGCACTCCACATTCGGCCTCGACGAGGACCTGCAACAACGTTTCGTAAACGGCTACAAGTCAGATCCGGGATTTTCCATGCTCTACACGGACTTATCACCGGATCACCCGCCGACAAGCAATTATCGCATTGTCGACGGCTACTTGCTTCTCCATACGCGAGGCAAGGACTTGTTGTGTGTTCCCCAAGACCGCATCTTGCGCACTTGCCTCCTTGGCGAATATCACGATTCGCGGCTGGTGGGACACCTTGGTGTCGCACACACACTGGCACGACTCCGCCAGTGATTTCACTGGCCGGACATCATCAGCGACGTCAACCGGTACATTCAGTCATATGCAGTTTGCCACCGGAACAAAGGGCGTCATCAACTCCCGTACGGCGAACTGAAACCATTGCCGATTCCTCGGGAACCAGGTCTCTCCATTGCTATGAACGTGACCGGTCCTTTCCCCCGCGATCACCTTGGCCGTGATGGTATTCTCACGGTCGTCGACCGTTTCAGCAAGTACGCTCGATTTCTTCCATGCAAGTACATGCGACGGCTCCCGAGCTCCCACGACTCTTGCACACCGGATGGTTTTGCAGCCACGGCGTTCCGGAAGACATCGTCAGAGACTGCGACACTCGTTTCATGTCAGCCTTTTGGAAGACACTCATGGTGGAATCCAACACCAGCATGAAACCGAGTTCCGCACGGCATCCTCAAACGGATGGGCAAACGGAACGTGCGCACCAGACTGCGCAGATGGTGCTCCGCACACTCATCCGCCCGGATCAAAAGGACTGGGTTGACCGGCTCCCCGACATCGAGTTCGCCTACAACACTTCGGTGCACCCGGCGATCAGCATGACTCCATTCGAGTTGCATCACGGTGGACTAAAAGGCCGCATCTTCGCAGACATTTTGCTTCCACGGGCTGCCGATATTGACGCTGCTTGCTCCGCCGCTTCTACATGGAAGTACAGGGAACTGCTGGCCAAAGCCCGTGCAAATATGCAAAAGGCTCAGGTCCGTATGCAGCAGCAAGCGAACCAGCGTCGCATTCCATATCTAATCCGCGCCGGCGACCTTGTTTGGGTCACCTCTGAGGAATTCGCGCTCGAGCAGCACGTCTCGCGCAAGCTCCTCCCTTAGTGGTTTGGTCCATGGAAGGTCACTTCAACAGCTGGCCCCGCGGGTCCCTCTTTCATAATTGAGATTCCCCCGCGTTTGACGGTCCACCCAGTATTTCACACTTGAAAGTTGGCGGTCTATACTCCAGCCTCACCAACGGATTTCCTGGGCAGACGGTCACACGACCCTCCATCAATGGATGGTCATCAGGAGGTCGACCGCATCCTCTCTCATCGCAAACACGGCAACAAGCCAATGCAGTACAAAGTTACATTCAAGCAATGCAATCCCGACGACACACGCTGGATTTCACGAGCTGATCTGAAGGCGACAACACCCCTCATCTTCGCGCATTACGAAAAACAGCGACTTGCTAAGGAAGCTGCCCAACCTGCCCGCCCCGTACGGACATTGGACAGACAGCTTCGCCCTCGCAGTTAGCTCGGTCTTCAAGGGGGGGAGTGTG